TATGCAACATTTCACTCACTATATGCCACACCACTAACGCCTAAAATTTATGCGTCATTTCATTCACTGTATGCAACACCACTAATGCCTAGAATTTAAGAAACATCACTCATTATATGCAACACCACTAACGCCTAAAATTTATGCGACATTACACTCACTATATGCCACACCACTAACGCCTAGAATTTATGCGACATTTCACTCACTATATGCCACACCACTAGTGCCTAGAATTTATGCGACATTTCACTCACTATATGCCACACCACTAATGCCTAGAATTTATGCGACATTTCACTCACTATATGCCACAACGCTAATGCCTCGAATTTCTGCAATAATTCACTCACTGTATGCCACACCACCAACACCTGGAATTTATGCAACATTTCACTCACTATATGCCACACCACTAATGCCTAGAATTTATGCGACATTTCACTCACTATATGCCACACCACTAACGCCTAGAATTTATGCAACATTTCACTCACTATATGCAACACCACTAACACCTAGAATTTATGAGACATTTCATTCACTATATAACACACAACTAACACCTACAATTTATGCAACATTTCACTCACTATATGCCACACCACTAACGCCTAGAATTTCTGCAATAATTCACTCAATATATGCCACACCACTAACACCTAGGATTTATGCAACATTTCACTCACTGTATGCCACACCACTAACGCCTAGAATTTATGCAACATTTCACTCACTATATGCCACACCACTAACGCCTAAAATTTATGCGACATTACACTCAATATATGCCACACCACTAACGCCTAGAATTTATGCGACATTTCACTCACTATATGCCACACCACTAATGCCTAGAATTTATGCAACATTTCACTCACTATATGCCACACCACTAATGCCTAGAATTTATGCGACATTTCACTCACTATATGCCACACCACTAACACCTAAAATTTATGCAACATTTCTCTCACTTTATGTTACTCCACCAATGCCTAGGTCCTCATAATAATAACAGTATGATTGACTTTAATGTCAACATTTAAGCATGTTTACCTTGACTTACAATTTAAATTGACCAATGAATATAAAATATTTCATTTCTCAAGGCATGTGTGTGACATGGGCATAATTCATAATGAGTAATGGTATATACAGTCTGTATATTACTATAATTATTATTGTACGTAAACATTAGTGGAGTGGCATATAGCAAATGGAATGTGGCTTGGAATCAAAACTATACTGAAGATTGTACTGGTACTCACTACTCTGAATTCAGATTCCCTTGTCTCTGATAATGAGCCACACTGTGTTATATGGGGTGATGGAATAATGAGACTCAATGGGTTCAGTTTCTGTAGTTTTAAGAGTCCTGAAGAAAGGGAAGAAGCATCGCACGATGACATTACACTAGCAGTTGGAGAAGTCACCTTTGGGATGGTTAGCGAGGCAGAGAAGATTGGTGTCTGATTGTGAATAATTGATGTGTTGACATCAGCTTCATCTACATACATATCAGTGACGAGTGATGTTGATCCTCTTCGTCGGAAATCAGCCGGTTCTTGAATGGGTGAACCTACAAGTACTGGAATACTTGGAGAGTCAGGGGAATACACCGGAACATCCTTGATGTGTGGATGTCTATGACTGTAGTGTGTGTTTAGTAAGGTCTGATTACGGAAAGTTTTGGGACATTCCTCACATTTGTATGGCCGCTCGCCTGAATGGCAACGAAGGTGGTAGTCCAAACCTTGACGAGATGACAACTGGCGACTACAAATCTGGCATATAAATCGCTTGACACTATTATGAGAAAGCATGTGGTATTTCAGCCCACTGGGTGTGGAGAAAGAACGGCTACATTGTTTACAGGAAATACGTCTGCTGTCAGCTGTTGACTCAAGAGAAGATGGAGGACTAAGTTCAGACAATGGCTGATCAACGGAATACGGGTTTTTGATGGAAGAAGAACTGACCATTGTAGGTAGTGATGACAATGGTGAGGATGGCGAACCTTCAGATGATGTTCTTTTCTTCCGATGTGTTCGTTTATGCGCCGTTAAAGTACTATACCAACAAAAGGACTTAGGACACATATTGCATTTCAATGGTTTCAAACCCTCATGCATCCATTGATGTTGTCGCAAATACAACTTATCAGGGCATACTTTGCAGCAGAATGAACATTCCAGATGGCAGCTGCTGCTGACTTGCCTTCTCTTTCGTGTGTGATTATCGTCATCGCTCATCTTGCTGACATGTGATGTACGTCTAGAAGAAGCAAAAAAAAAAAAAAAAAAAAAAAAAGTGAAAATAGTGTGAGAGTGAAAAGAAGACTGAAAAAAAAATGCCAGAAACAGGTCGCAGTAGCAGCAGCAGTTTCACTTAAGTGTTCAACTAGCGGTTCTAGTGTAAAATGTAGATGAGCAAATTGTATTAACACTGTGGTAAACATGCCATTTAGGATATGAACAGTAGGTGGTAAACATGCCAAAAAGGATATGAACAGTAGGTGGGTAAACATGTCATTTAGGATATGATCAGTAAGTGGGTAAACATGTCATTTAGGATATGAACAGTAGGTAGGTAAACATGCCATTTAGGATATGAACAGTAGGTGGGTAAACATGTCATTTAGGATATGAACAGTAGGTGGGAAACATGTCATTTAGGATATGAACAGTAGGTGGGTAAACATGTCATTTAGGATATGAACAGTAGGTGGGTAAACATGCCATTTAGGATATGAACAGTAGGTGGGTAAACATGCCATTTAGGATATGAACAGTATGCGGTAAACATGCCATTTAGGATATGAACAGTAGGTGGTAAACATGTCATTTAGGATATGAACAGTAGGTGGTAAACATGCCATTTAAGATATGAACAGTATGTGGTAAACATGTCATTTAGGATATGAACAATAGGTGGTAAACATGTCATTTAGGATATGAACAGAAGGTGGTAAAAATGCCATTTAGGATATGAACAGTAGGTGGTAAACATGCCATTTAGAATATGAACAGTAGGTGGGTAAACATGTCATTTAGGATATGAACAGTAGGTGAGTAAGCATGCCATTTAGGATATGAACAGTAGGTGGGTAAACATGCCATTTAGGATATGAACAGTAGGTGGGTAAACATGTCATTTAGGATATGAACAGTAGGTGGGTAAACATGTCATTTAGGATATGAACAGTAGGTGGTAAACATGTCACTTAGGAAATGAACAGTAGGTGGTAAACATGTCATTTCGGATATGAACAGTAGGTGGTAAACATGCCATTTAGAATATGAACAGTAGGTGGTAAACATGTCACTTAGGATATGAACAGTAGGTGGTAAACATGTCACTTAGGATATGAACAGTAGGTGGGTAAACATATCATTTAGGATATGAACAGTAGGTGGGTAAACATGTCATTTAGGATATGATCAGTAAGTGGATAAACATGTC